TTGCCTGGGGAGTGCAGCTACCACCCAGCAACCACTTCTTCTCTTCATCACAGTCTTCCCCACATCCCAGCATGAGAGCCTCCAAAACACCTGGTGAAATGTCACAGGAATGCTGTGCAAGGGTCTGATGTCCTGGCTTCCCCCAGGCTGGAAGAGTAGCATTCCTGGAGCGGGGAGCGGTGCCAGGACAGTGCACAATGGACTGTTTGAGTACAGGGTCTCAAGGTTCAGAAATGCATATCTGATCCCATAATTTCTCATCTAGCTCTGGCTTTTGTTTCTGATTTGCAAGTTGATTTACATGTGGGGCTAACCAGCCATTCCTCTTCGAATCTGTCTCTCCTGGGACTGCAGARCATTTGATGGATATGGGTGGATTTTGACCTGAACCCCACAGTCACCACTTGAGTGTCTACAGAGAAGCCCACGAGRGGCCTTCCTGATGAATGTGTCCTTTTTCCATCTTTTCACACACCCACATATGTTGATGGATGGCCAGGACACAATCTCCAAGGAACTGTGGTTTGGATTCTGGGCTYAGTTTCGTCTCACTTTGGGCTCCTGGGATATCTTTGCTTGTCAGCACTCCAGGGTAGGRCTGGGCAGGTTGGCATTTGGAAGCCAATTATTTCTCTTTCATAGGCAACTKGGAAATGTGACAATTCTTCCCCAAAAGCCCTGGAGTGTGTTGGTTGTTCTGCTGCTCTCAACACAATCCCTGAATTTCAGGGAAGAGAAAGAGATGGTTGAAGTTCATGTGAAGCCTCATCCACTTTTCCCAGCACTGTGAGCATCAGGAGGAGCAGATCTATAAAGTTTGGGGGCAAGAGGGCCATTTCTATCCTCCATTTCCAGTGGCTGAGCAGTGCATYCTCTGCTTTTTGGGCCAGTGAAACCTTTGCAGATCAATTCCTGTGGTCCTCTGGGCCCTCTCACCCAGCAAGAGCAGCATTTTCTAGAGGACAGGTCTGCTGGAAACTCACAGTGCCTGCTCCTGGCTTGTGGAACTCATTTTTTGGTGTGAACTGAAGTGCCACTTCACCCCCAGTGTCCTAGCAGTAAAACAAGGATCATAAAATGCACCTAACATAAAAGCAGGTTGTGAAAACCTAATTAGTAGGTGTTAGTCTTTTGAACCCCTCAGGTAAAAATGGTGGCACTCTGAACTCTCTTCCTGAGGAATTCAGGTGGATAAATTCAGCCTAATAATCCCCCAAGGGACTATTATCTATGTTTTATGTGGAGGAGGGAGAAGAGGAGGACTTGGGTTGCCCAAGGTCAGGAAGAGGCAGAGGTTTTGTTCCACCAGGAATGGGCTTCACAAATGTGGTTAAATGCAGGAGGGTTGGAACGAGATGATCTTTAAGGTCCTTTTCAACCCAAATAATAGTCTGATTTCTGAAATGGGTGGTTGAGGATGGCTGAAATTTCCAGTTCAAGTTTCTCGTGCCCGCTTCTCGTGTGTATCGCCCACCACATGCCTCTGGGGGAAGCAGGGCTTGGGGGTGGGCATTGTAAAATATCCATGGAAAACACATTTTCCCATTTGTGAGCCCGAGAACATGGACACGTAAAGTGTGCTCTCAGAGATCTGCTCACCCGACGAGGCTCTGTGACCTACTTGCTCAGTCAAAGCAGCTTTGATTTCACATATCGAAATTGCTCTAAGCGAGACCGAACTTACCTAGCAACAATTAAGAGAAGCATTTAAGAAGCGGGAAACGATGAAAAGGGAAGCAAAAACACTAAACAGGCCCATTCACAGYGGGTGAATAGGAAAGTCTTTGCATACCTGATTTGTCAGAAATTATTCATCCAAGAACATTTGGACCTGAACYATAAGACTATTTTTCTTTTATATCCCTTGATACATGAATCAGTGTCACTTTACATCTGAGCACGGAATGTTTTGACCTATATAATACCTTAGATAGTGGAAATGCAGCTTGAAAATCTCAGCAAAAATGAGAAAAGATGGCATAAGTCAGTAAGATGGCATTAGCACATATAGATGCAACTTATCACTGGAAAACATCCCAACAGAAGCCCAAAGAAAAATGTTTTGTAAATAATAGGATTAGGAAGCAGGTTGGTACTTTGTGGAGCTGGCTGTACAATCAAACTGATAACAACTAGATTAATAAGGCAATTCAATCCAAACACAGTSTAGCACTAGAAAGCTTTTCAAAATCAATGCTATCTGTGCTATTTTAATCGAGGTTGGTCTTTGCCTTTTGAAGCAAAGAGATTTGAAACTACTGGTTGGGAAGGTATAATAAAATGGACTGATTGTTGTTTGTTTTTTTTTAACATGTGCTTCTTAATTAGAACCCTCCATTTCTAAATGTTTTCATCTTCCTAGGTGGGGGAAGTGAAGGCATACAGGATAGTGGCTGGCCTGTGTTGAAATGAAATATGGCAGACCTTGGAAAATGCTGTGCTTGGCTGAGTTCTGGGTGTTTGGAGCTGGTTTGTCTGTCTGGGACCCAGCAGAGGGTTGAGCTGAGCAGGGTGGCTGGACAGGGCATCCTAGGGCACACATTGCATTTCACTGTACAGAGGGAGATTGTAGGGAAAACATCCTGAAGTTGTAGTGTGGCACACAAAACATCAAAACACTCAGTTTTGAGCATTTTAAGATTCACTGAACCAGCTCAGACCTTGAGCCAAGTATCAGGTCCCAGCTCTGGGCAGTCTCCCTGTGTCAGACAGGGAAACCAAACCTGGGAGCAGTGTCTTTGCAGCCATCTCAGGTGTCCACCAGAGCATGGTGTGTGCTGCTGGCCAGCAGAGCAGTGACCCTGGTGTCATGGGGAGATGGTTTGCAGGCCCCTGCTCTCCTCCACCAGCAAGCTGCCCCCTCCATCTTCATTTATGACAGCAGAACCCTTCRTGCTGCTGTTCGCTTTGCAATATTTTTGCTTCTCGCAGTGTGTGAGGGGGAAGAGTAACCTGCCACTGTCCTTGAGGGGTTTGTCAGCTGGAGACATGGCAGTCTGTCCYCTTCCCCTCCAGGGCTCTCAACTTGCCTTCCTCACGTCCAGCATCTCCAGCCCCAGCACCTGCCTCYGTTTCAGGAGGAGACACACAGACCAGTAATGGGGGCATGCAAAACCACACTGGATAAATGCATTTGCATAATACGTTGTGATGCTCTGAATCCCTCCTGCTGCAGCCACAAAACATGGGTGAGGTGGGAACTAACACYGAGGGAGTAGTCTTCTCTACTTCCTCATTTCCCTTTTTTTCCTTTCACAGAGATTGTGAACCAGCATGTATTCAGGGAGAAAAAGCCATTTCTTTCTCTGGGCTTTGTCTGTCCTACAGCAAGTGTGAAGGAGTGTGAATCCCATTTGGAAGGCTCCTTCAGAGGAGACATTTCGGAGCRGTGCGTGGTTTGCACACTAATCCAGCCTGCTCCCACACCCCGCCGTGAACCCCATTAATGGGGAGGCTTGTTAAATGCCAGGAGGCTCCAGGAATGAGCCAGCCCTGCTGTTCCCTTGATGCACCAAAAAATGAAACAGCTCGCAGACTCTCAGGTCTGTCAAAGGAAGGAGGAGTAGGAATCGCTCTGACTTGGCCACGGATGGTCTCTGGCAGGAGGGAGGAAAGGGAAAACCATTGTGGCATTTCCAGGGGTTTGATGTTACGTGGTGCTGAGGGCTGTGCTCAGCCTAATGAGGGGATTTATGTCACATCCCACGAATCTGAGAATCTTTTTTAATGGCACCAAACGCGGGCACACACGCTGTCTCTTTTTCGTTTTTGTCTAATGCATTTGGGATTTTTTTCAGAACTGGTAGAAATACATTCTCCTGAGATACATTTTCATTAAGGTATATATTTCTGGGTAGCAATATTTCTGCTGGAAGAGAATTTGGTTCTCTTTATGAGTGTGCTCATTGGGATATCTGTGCAATGGGAACAATAAAAGAGCAGTGAGCACATGGCAGTTTAAATGTGTGTGACTGGGAGCCCAGCTCCCTTGAGCATCACAAAGTGGGTGACTTGTTCTTTGTGATCCCTGTGAAAACAGCAGGCTAAAGCAATAAGGGGCTCTGCAACYGAATAGGTGCAGACCAATCTTGTATTTATTTTTGAGTGAGGATTCACAGCTTGCGTGAATGATGTGGGGTTTTTTAAGAGTTCTTCATAGCTTCATGTAGGTGCTGGAAATGTTGGCTGTTCATTCCCACAGGTGTTGGTCAGACTGGTCTGCCATCTGTCCTTGTGTGGCGGTCTCAGGCCGTGGGAGTGACACAGCTGTCACTTCAGGTCTCAGCTCCAGCATGTGAATGACTGGACATGGCCTTGTAGCTTCAGCCAGGTTACACCAAAGATGGGGACAAGGGGCTTGGAGGCACTCAGAGGATTGGAGTGGGCTGGCACGGAGCTCTGGGTCTGTCCTGGGTCCCTGAGAGCTGGGACAAGGTACACCATGAGGATGAGGTCTCTACAAGACGAGGAGGCTGGTTATTCAGTCTGGATAAAATAGAGATAATGGAGSTTCACAACTAAAATCCCAGGTAAAGAAACCCTGGTGGGAACCCTGTCCAGATCATTCAGTTCAGTCCCTACCTGATAAGGGCATGGAAAGTGCCTTGGCAGCCTGGAGTTGGAGACCTTCTCCATGCACTGCTAACACCTGGCTGGTAAAGAGAAGCAGAGGTGTGTTTGCAGCTGGAGGGTGCACACTGCTGTGGCAGCCAGAGCAGATGGCTCTGATGGTGCTTAGATCACACAGGTGTTATTAATTGGGGTGGCTCGGAGCGTTTTTTGCCCGAATGATCTCACGGTGCCAGCAGGGCAGCGGTGACAATGGATGAAAAGCCCTTCAGAAACATCGGGACATTGTCACTCTGGATGGGGTGGGACACGGGCGGGGCGGCTGCGTCTCTGCTCGGAGCCCTTCTGAGCAGGATCTCTTCTTGACTGTTGAACAATGCTTGGCAAAAAGGAGYTGGATTTATAAATAATGCATTTCCTTTGTCTTGCAGGAGTTCTGGAGGCAGAGGTACAATCAGATCAGCTGTGAACAGCTTACATAGCAAATCTAATAGGTTTGTAAATTAGATTTTGTGTTCATTTGTTTTTGCTGTAAGGCAGCTATTAATCTGCTTCTCCTCTTCGCTGGATAGTGCTGTTCTTATTTAGCAAATGTATCAGTTTCTTTTCACTTCTGCTTTGCATTTTCTTAATCGTTTCTCCCCCTCCTTCTTCCAGCTCAGTGCGATAATCATTTGAAAATAACCAAGGATCTGAAAGTTGCKGTGATTGAGAGAATGAGTTACTTATTGTGAAAATAAGTCAGTGATAGAGTTGCTATTTTCCATAGTTTTAAATGCTATTAGAAGAGAGATGGCTGTGTTTGGGATCAGAACTCCATTCAGTTTTACTGCAGTGCACTCCAGTAACATCCCTCCGTGGCAGAGTCATTCAGTGTCTCTCTCTCTGTGTTTTTACAATGATTCCCTGTCAGCCCAGGCACGTTTGAAAAGCTTAGTGACACCATGGAAGGAAGAGTGATATCATTCTGTGATGATGTCACCAGCTGTGATCAAAACACAGAAAATGGACAAAACCAAAAAAATCGTAGTTATTCCCAGGGCTGCTTTACCCTACTTGTATTATGATTTTTGACACCTTCTAGGTAAGCTTTCCAAGACATGAGTGATGCAGCAAAATGCAAGAAGCAAACAAATCCAACAGACTGGCAGCCTCTGGAGAGGTACTGTACACACACACACCAGGACACTGGCAGCCAGYATTTATAAACACATTTCCCTGCCTTTTTGAAACATTATACAGTGTGAGTCACTCTGTGTCCTGGGGAGTTCTTTCCCTGGGCTGGAGATACATTCTCAGGAGCTGGATGTTTGTCCATGAGCCTGGGCCACCACCTCTGCCCCATCTCTCACTCTGCTCCCTCCTTGGGGTTTACATGCTTGATATAAATGCATTTATTTACAAAGCTTTTCCCAGCTGGAAAAAGCCCTTTGCAGTGGAGAGGGAGATTCCCTTTAGCTGATGGCAAGTGCTTTGGCTGCRTGTTTTTCAGAGTGCTCTGAAGTGTGAAGGCTTTTTCGGGGCTGCAGATACGCACGCAAGCTTCTTGATGAGATGCTTGGCTTTTCTTGTTGGAGGGCAGCTGGCTGGAACCAAATATTTGGAGACTACTTCAATTCCTGCAACTTGATTTAAATGGCGCACAAGTGCTGGGGCTGATTTCCTTCTTAGAGCAGGGATTAAACACTGGGGTCTCCCAGTGATCACCTCCAGCATCTGGCTGCTGCTCATTTCTTGGTCTGGAACAGGTGATAGAGATGCTGAAATCCCCATGCTCAATTCTAAGCAGGGCCTTAGAATTCTAAGTTTCCAGTGAGCCAGCCTGCTCTTCTTTAGTACAGGATGCTCAGAGCCCAGTCTCAAAAGCAGCACCCAGCAGCTCACCTGAATTAATTTCTCTGTTGAGTGTAGAGAGGGTTGCTTCTCTCTGATGAGGATTTTAATCTTCTCCAGGAGCCGAGCTGGCTCTGCTTTGGGATGCTCATGTGCAGCCATGAGGCAACAGGGCAGCAGCCTTGGCTACGAAGTTTCTAAGTTAATTTTGGGGGCTTTGGGGTGTCTTGTCTGCAAAATGACCATCTGCTAGCCTGTCACTGTGTGTTTCTTTGTGCAAGTTTTTCTGTATTGCCCTGTGTAATAGTGTGTTTTCTGTGCCTGGCTGTCAGTTTGAGTTCATGGAAGCGAGYGGGTATTTAAGGATTTCTGTCTGTCTGCTTGAGTGCAGCAGAATAGGAACAGGCTTTCAGTTCTTGTTTAGCTAATAACTACAATTTTGCTTTTCTGATGAAGTTTGAATTCCAGCAGCCAGAGCTGAAGATGGTGATTAGAAGTGCCATTGGGATGCTAACGGATTCTGTCTCCCTCTCCCCGACTTTCTTTTTCTCTAGAGCTGAAGCAGTAATAAATGACTCCTCGTCTCCAGCTGTTGTTGACAGAAGTAATGAAAGCATTAAGCACAACATTAAACCAGCCTCATCCAAATGGAGACACAACCAGACACTCTCTTTGAAGATCAGGTACTGGTAATTACCTATAGGACAAGGAGGCAGATTTGGTCCTCTCCAGTGCAARCTGGCAAATTGCCTCTGTGTATCATCTAAAAAAGTCAAGGAAGAAATGAAAAGACTTATCTCCTGCTGAGCTGGGCTTCATATCTGTAAACGATYGCTTGGAAATGAATTTCCAGCTGAACCAGCTGGCCTGGCAACAACAAAACCAGGAGCACTTGAGCCCCTGCTTTTCAGGCCGAGTGGAATTTGTGGGCAGGTGATGGGTCACMGAGGGAAGGGGATCTTCTTCCCAGGGTAAACTCAGAACTCACACTGAATGGTGGGCTGACAATGGCAGCCTGCCCTGGGCAGGRATGAGTGGAGAGGGAGCAGGCTCTGAGATAGAGATATCCTTTTGTAAGCTGTTCCTGGAAAGCAGCAGTCAGATGGACTGGCCACACAGTGAGGGCAGCCAGGAAGCAAGAGATCATCTTATGTCTGACCCAAGCTATCTCTGCGCCTCACCTGATAGGGCTGTTTTCTTCCYCTCCTCAGGAAGCAGATCTTGAAGTTCCTGGATGCAGAGAAGGACATTTCGGTGCTGAAGGGGACGCTGAAGCCGGGGGACATCATCCACTACGTGTTTGACAGGGACAGCACCATGAACGTCTCGCAGAACCTGTACGAGCTGCTGCCCCGCACCTCTCCCCTCAAGGGCAAGCAGTTCCCCACCTGTGCCATCGTGGGCAACTCGGGGGTCCTGCTCAGCAGCGGCTGCGGCCCCGAGATCGACGCTCACAGCTTCGTCATAAGGTAGGGGGCTGTCTCCTAACGGGGGGAACCATCCTCTGGGGGCCTGTGGAGCAGTGCAAGGGGCTGAATCCTGGTTAGCTAGAGCAGCACAGCCTCAGAGCCCCACGTGCACGCAYAGAGCTCACTGATGCAAGTTTCCTGCTGCAACCCATCTGCAGGTGCTCTCCAGTGTTGTTGCACGTGCACCTCATCCCTTCTCATGGTGCACCGTTAACCCTCCAGCGTGCTCCCTCCTCTTCCCCCACATTTGCCCTCTTGCAAACAAACCCTATCATGGGCTCTCACAAACCCTGTGCTTCCCCAAATCCCTTCTGCCCTAGAGAACAAGGTGAACCACACCATGCCCTGGCACCCCACCATGCCCTGGCTCCACACTTGTGTGTGCCCAGATCTGACCTTCCGCTGTGTCCCCAGTGCTGCTGTCCCTGCAGCTGCACTGTCCCAGAGAGCTGCAGCAGCACATCCTKAGCCCCACTGGGAACATCAAATTCACTGCTGAAGGTGTCTGAAGYGGAAAGGAGGAGCTCCTGCCTTCCCAGCCCCGTGCTCCCGTTAGTCGAGAGGCTGTGGAATCCACAGATGATTTATGTACACACAGACATTGTTTTCTGGTGAGTCTATTAAGAGGACAGCCCAATCCATCAGCAGCTCACAGAGGCGGTGCTGGCGTGACGTGGGAATGAGGATAATGTCACCTCTGTCCCCCACTCAAACACTGCTGCTCCAGCTGCCTGGCTGCTGGCAGCCCCAGCCTGGCCACAGGGGATAGAGCATTATYCTTAACTGGAACCCAAGCGAGCAGAGGGGAAAGCTGCTGATTGTGGTTCTGGTGAAGTTTAGTGAGGGGCATTCGTGTCAGGCAGCAACATTGCAGGAGAAAAGCTTTCCTGGATGTGAGGATGAGGATTTTGAGTGACTTCTCCCCAGCTGTGTGCCAGTGCARGTCTGGCACAGACACACTGCCCACTGTAGGTTGTCTGAGCCACTGCTGGAACCTGCATCTTCCTGCAGAAGGTTTGCTCCATCCAGGCAGCCTTTTCAGCAGGGTTGGCAGGGACCAGGGATTGGGCCTGTATCAGGATACAGGTCCAGTGTTTATTTTCAGTGAATTCACTCCCATGACGAGTCAATCAAAGGGCCCCCATGCCAGGAGCTGGATTTTCTTTCCACAATTCCCTTAGTTTCCCCATCTGTAAAGCAGGGGAAACAGTAATAATAGCTGATTATCGAGGCAGATGGTTAGGATGCAATTCCTGCTCATTAAATACTGTAACTTCTCTGTCAAACACCACAGCGGAGCCCTCAGTGTGCAAACACATGGGCACCCTCTGGTTTTTATGATGCTGGGGGAGCATCTCTCTGTATCCCCCATCAGCTGGTTCCCAGTGCCATTTGCCCTGTGCCATGTGCGTGGCACAGACAGATTCCCCCCCAAGGAACTGTAGAAAAACCATGTAAAAAAAGGGTGATCTGTTGGCAGTTTGTCCCACAGCTCTCATGATGATGTGACACAGGAGCTCGTGGCACATGGCTCATGTCCACGTGCACAACCTGAGAGGTGGCACTAGGTCACAGCCTCCAGATAGCCAGGCCCTGTGGAAGCCGTGTCCTGGCATCCCTTCCTCCGGTGTCATCGTCACCAGTGCCACAGGTCTGCTGTTTGTAGAGACTCACCAGGAGGAGAAAAGGCATTTGGGATAATGTTATTCCAGCAGGGCTGGAAATAAGAGGCAAGCACTTTCCTTGAGTGGGAAAAGCTGTTTTGTCTCAAATCTGCTGTGGGAGCAAAGGCTGGAGCTTTGTTACTGGTACTATTTTTAAGCAGCACCAGAAGAGCCACCGCTCCCTACAAACCACCCAGCAGATACCACAGTTGTGGCTGACATTGTCATTGTCCCTGAGGGACACATGAGCACGTGCCATCATGCTGAGGGATGRTGGCCTGACATGGAGATGGCTCATCAGCACTCATTTATTGGAGAGAATCATTTCCACTCTTCTTCCTCCCAAAAGCGAGGGCAAACGGGCACATTGTCACGTTGTCACCAGCCCTGTCTGGTGAMATCACACCCCTGGTGCCTGTCCCTGCCCTCTCTCACCCCACTGACCATGCCTGTTGGGTGTTTTCCCTCGCAGGTGCAACYTGGCCCCCGTGCAGGAGTACTCTCAGGACGTGGGCATGAAGACAGACCTGGTGACCATGAACCCCTCGGTGATCCAGCGCGCCTTCGAGGACCTGGTCAACGAGACCTGGAGGGAGAAGCTGCTGCAGCGCCTGCACAGCCTCAACGGCAGCATCCTCTGGATCCCRGCCTTCATGGCCAAGGGGGGCAAGGAGCGTGTGGAGTGGGTGAACGAGCTCATCCTCAAGCACCACATCAACGTCAGGACTGCCTACCCCTCTCTGCGCCTGCTGCAYGCTGTCCGAGGGTGAGAGCCTTTCTGCTGTGCTCCCAGCCAGCATTCCTGAGCTGGGGA